ATACTAAAACTATGCAGTCAGAGAATTGGAGGAAGAATAATACTATGGCTATTGACTAATAGCTTCTCCTTTTAAAAATGAATATATTATCCAACATATTTTCACATTTAACAGAGCATTATCAGTCACATCTTAGGATGTTTATGCAGATGCAGGATACATATGAAAGAGATTAGGAAAAAATAGTATCAGGGCATTTGGAAATCTCAAAGCAACTATTTTGGAAAAATTCTTAACATGATTTAAACATGCTTATAATTATTTTTGCTGTAGGGTACTAATGAATTATTTTATGAATATCGCAGATCATATAATGTCCCAGTTATCGATGTAGAGAATTTTTTTAAAAAATAACATGAGCATTTAATTTATAGTTATGCGAAACAATTCTTTAGTCAGCACTACTGTTCCTTAAACAGATTTTTTTTTTCTCCTTAGTTCTCAGTCATATGTAGAAGGGCCTGATCAGGAGCAAGCAAAAAGGCAAAAACTTGGTAATGCCTATCACTCACTTCTTCTGGTGTTTGTTTGTTTTGTTTGGGGTAGGTTGTTTTGAAGGATAATTCCTGAGAACTATCTGTCATGACTGAAGTATAACTTCATAGATATTTGAAAGTATTCTATTCTTCCTTGCCCACAGAAATTTCATATATATTTCAAGAGCAAATTGTGATAATTAGCAGATTATGAAAAATGTTTTGAACTAAAATGAATAATTTTCAACTCACCAAACTTATTCTGATGCTGCCCAACCATCCTGGAAATGTTTCAAGCTCAAAACAGTGTTGTTTCAAACTTAGAACATTTCCTGAGTGTTTGGAACAGTGCTGGAACGCTTTTGGAAAGGTGACAGCAACTACTTTTGAACTCCAAACAGTTGGTTTCAATATATTTTGTACAACCTGAGTAATAACTAATTTGTTAACATCTAAAGCCATCAGTAATGGAGGACTACTTTACTGCACGTAAGAAATATTGCTATACAATCATAGGAAGCTGATGCATAATTTGGTTAGAACATAAAGCAAATTTATTAAAATAATGTCCACATAGGGAGATTGCCTTATCTTGTAAATGGAAGTGGAACAGCAAGGGAGTAAAATATTGAATAGCAATCAAGCAATATAATACAAAAGACATCTACTGAAGTAACACCAAATTGGAATAGTAGGATTGGTGCAAGCAGAAGCATTCCAAGAAAAGTGAGGTTAAATCTCCCTTTCTCTGAATATGAACAGCAGGACTTATAAAACTTGTCTATTTAGGAAAAGACAAGCCTGTTCTAAAACCACACAAGTATCTACTGGTCCAAATCCTTACTGAAGGATTTTAACAATAAGCAGCAGCATCCATTGCTCTTGGTTTAATTTTATAATTAATTTTTGAATATTCCCACAGTTAGGATATCTTTTGTATAACTGCAGGTGGAGTGGATCTAATAAAAGAGATAATAATCACTTCAGTGTTTTGAATCATTTTGGGAATCTGGTGTTGTATATGTACCATAAATGAATGAATGAATAAAATGAATATCACACTTAAACCAAGATACCCATAAGGACCATACACTTGAGTGATCTCTTCTAATAGAAAATATTTTTTTTTCTCTAAACCTTAACACTTTCAGTAATTTGTAGAAGGTTAGAATAAAAGAACAGGAAGAGAACTTACTTTCATAAATATATCTCTTGAGCCAATATGATGTTTGTAAACAGGAAAGTACTAAGTACTGTCATATCAGATACATCCTTCCAGACAAGTCTTTTGTTACTGGAAGGACTCTTACATGGGTGAATGCAGGGGGAGATAGGGGAGACAAATTACACAAAAGCTGCAACTTAAGTCTCTGCATTAGAAATCAGAATGCAAGTATGCAGTTGAAGCATTTATATGATGACATCACCCTGTGTGTGTTTTCATTTTGGTCTCATAGTTTGCTGCAGACATTGCTGAGCTCTTATTACATGCACTTTGGCAAATGTAAGAATAACATTCGAATAAAATTCAGGCACAGCATGAATCAAATGAACTCAGGAAGGAGTGCTTTTGTTTATAAATGCAATGTTGTTTTGTTTTGAAGGTCAACATTTCTGACTAAATATAACTTTTTCCAGATATTTTTAGTATATTAGCTCAAGGAATTGCCAGTCTGATTAAGCTACCATCCCAGTTAACAGCTAAATATCTTCAGGTTGGAGATCAATATGCTGAAGCTACAAAAGAGGTTTGTGTCCCTTTTAAGAAGATAAAAATAAAGTGTATGCATTTTGTGTGCAAATTTAAATCTTTGGGTCTGTCATCCTTTGTCTTCTGGAATAGCAACATGTTTAAATTAACTTAAGTAGAGAATGAATGGAATGTATCACTTCCAGAAGCTCAAGCTGACATATATAATATTTTTTCTCCAATTCTTTTCTGTGAAGATGGTTGGGCTGAGAGATACAGATAGGCCCAAAGTCACCAAGTGAGCTTCTGTGTCTGGGAACTGACTTCAGCCTAGTGTCCTCAGTCCTACTGTTATTATCTTACCTACCTCTGCCTTATTTCACAGCAAAGTTATCATCTTCTGTTTCCCCTCATTTCTTCAGAATAAACAGACAAAGCAAGCTTCTTGCTAATTCTTAAGACTGAGTATAGAGCTGCTGAATGGAATGCATGAGAAATACCCAATGAGTGCTAGTGAGTGTGGGAAAAAGCTTTCATTGTTAAGAATTGAACAGGAAAGCAAAATTCTTCTTCCATATGTAATGCCACGCTCTTTTAGACCTTTTAGATGGCAGCTCAGAGAGGTGTTGGTCTATATTTTTAAGCAAAGCAAGTTTGTTACCCTCCTGGAGAATGAATTAGTGGATCTTAATGGGAGAAATTCCTAATGGTCCTGTTAATGGCACCTTTATAGTGTAGGACAGACAGCCTTTCGTGGCTGAGGGCCTTTGTTCATTTGACATGACTGGAGTAACACTAATGTAAATCTTTTCTTCAAGTTTTTTTCAAATGCTTCTGATACCTTGGCTGACAAGCAGATGCAGCCTAACTGTGACATGCAGATGTGTGACTTTGGTAAGTGAATAGATACTGTGGCTGTATTTCAGATTCAGTTATTCTAATGGGTGTATTCATCTTCTTTTGTTATAGCTGTAATTATTTTTTGTTTGTTGTGAAATACTTAAGTCTTATATAGCATATTATAAATTGCAAAAATTTAATTTAAAAAATTAAAGTTAGTCAGTATGAGCCATTGATTTGACTTGGACTAAAGTGTAATTTACCCTTAGTCATGCTAGTCCATTGTTTGTAGGTATTGGGTCTCCACTGGATTTTTTTTTAAGTATTTATGGAGATTTCTTTTACCTCATCCTTCTTATATGTGCATTGTGTATGTGTTTAGCTTTTCCAGTTCTTCTATACCCTAGTATGTGTCTCTTCTGTTGTTTGTGTTAGATCTGTTGATGAGAAGAGCTCTAGAATGCTGCAGTTTCCTTATAAGTCAATTATTGGCATACTCAGTGGATTGCT